GCAGCGCTGCGCCGCCCGCGCACGGCTGCGCACCCCCCACCCCACCCGTGCCCACCGCGCGTCCGTGGGGTGCGCCGACACCCCGGCTGCCCCCGGGCAGCACCCGCGGGTGTTTTATTGCCCGTTACTGCATCACGGGAGGGCACGGACAGGGGCTCTTTCCAGGGAAACGGGCCACCGCGAGAGCAGCCCCGTGTGACATAACGTAAACGTAAGAGCACGCTGTGATACAAGAGGATATCCCAGTCCCTAAAGCTGAGCGGGGCGTTCGCTCACCCTGGCCGCGGCTCTGCAGGGGTTTTCCAGGGCTCCCGGCGCGTCCCGGCGGGGCGGCCGGAGCGGGGGCTGGCGCCGGACCCGTGCGGCCCTCGGCCCCCTCACGCCGGCAGAGCCGGGGTTCATCGCCGGGCCGGAGCAGCAGGGCTGCGCGCACGGTGGATTGTCTTCCTGGGGTACAGAAAACGTCCAGAGCCGCTTACTTGATTAAAATATCTAAATTCAAAGCATTTCAGGGTGGAATAGAAAGGAATTAAAAGTTATTTTTATTACTGTGCTGTTTTAACTACTATTATATATACTATAAAAATCATTACTAACGGCTTTTTAATAATTATTTTTTCACGATAACAGCAATTTGCAATGATGTATCACACCACCACACCTTCCATCTTACGAATTAAAAAAGGAGGGAAGGATAACAGTCTGTGTAAACCTAGAAATAAGGTCCAAATAGTTAATTTTCTCTACACCTGAGTTTGCGTGTTAAATTGCACATTCTATGTCAATAGTGAAATTATGGAAGTAATGAAACATATGTTTAAAGTTAGCAATGTTTTTAAGTATTTAAGCTGTGTTTTTAAGTGTAAGACAGTCCGTGCCTCTTTACTATTACGCAAAGAATAAATGAAATATATTTAAAAATTAAGCACTATTTTTCCTATTATTCTCAGGCCTACATTTACATGTGGAGGAGTTGTATCTGGAGAGTCAGGGTTTATTGGGAGTGAAGGATTTCCTGGAGTCTACCCTCCAAACAGCAAATGTACTTGGAAAATCACAGTAAGAATTTTTAATATCACAAAATCAGTGCTGAAGACAATGAAGAGCTATTTGTTGTTAATGCCAGTGTTTTATATGGGATAACATATGCGCAATAATAAACTCAGTAACTCAGAGCAGCTCAACTATCTGGAGCTTTTTAGGGTTGCTGTAATATGATAATAGTGGCTGAAATAGAACTGACCTTGCCTAATATCAGAAGCAAATTTTCACTGACTTCCGTAGATACACCTCTAATTCTTTTAAATTAACCCACTTGAAAGCAAACATCTACCCTTCCAGTCACTGCAGAAAGCAATAGTTAGTTAAATCAAATGGATTAAAGTAAAGCTTTGAGGTGTAGATAATGAAAAGCAAAATTCATTGGCAAGAAGACATAGAAAAAGTTTCAAAGAAGAACAAAAAATTCAGGCAGGTTTGCTTGTAATGTGCTAATAACAGTGTTCTGCCAGCCAGGACATCAGGAGTGTGTCATACAGCACGATGACAAAGCAATAGAAAAGCATTGTTACGTTTATAAATGACCATGCGAAAGCACGTGGTACAATTGATGTTTTGATGCTGAAATGAGACCGTAAGGCAGAGACATCGTATTCATGGACAGCAAATGCCATTAAAACAACTAGGACTGAACACTCCAGTGCTGGACGTGTCCTTATCCACAGACTCGGAGAAAGGAATTTGAATGAATGATTTCTTTTCCTCACACCTGCACAAGTTAAGCCCTCCAAAATGGTCCACCAAATCTCGTCTCCATTTTTTAGGCACAGTTCACTGAGAACTCCTGTGACACTCAGGCCTAGAATATGGGCATTATAGAAAAAACAAGTATAACAAAGCATAAAAAAATAAATTTGTGTGTTGATGGGATCACTAAAGACAACTTCAGTTCAAAGACTGCATTACAGGCTAGGTGTTGGCAGTAGAATAGGGCGTCATGGGATAATTGTCTTCTGCTACTATAGAGACGCTGACGCAAAGCAGGAGACATTGATCTGTTCACAGTGTTCGGTTAAAACGACTCTTGTACCAAATGGGTGATGTAATTTTAATCATTTTATCTGAAGGATACCAGTGAAGCTGCAACAGTTGGTTTCTGCACCTTTATGTTGCTTTATTATTAGGGCCAAGTTAGAGGTTACCTTTAATCTGTGACTGACTTTATCCAGGAGAGTATGATGTGAAATACAGTGTATGCTCATAAATAAACTTGCTTCCTGCTGTTGAGGGGCTGAGATTACAGCAATTAGCGTGGCCCACCTTACAATCTGAACAGCAGATGCAAATTGCATTTGGAATCATACCCACATGCCTTAAATGAAAGGCAAAAAAACCCCCAAAGTTAGTTTACCAATATAACTCAGTATTAGATCTTCAAAAGTTCAAAACTGAATCTGGAGGGAAATAATAATTTTGATTATAACAGCATAAAGTTTTTACCATTTAAAAATTTGGATTACAAATGGAGGCAGCACTGAAGAAGCATTTAGTGAAGCATCCCATGGATCAGCCCTTCATTGTATATTGGGGGTAGAGGGAGAAGAGAACAACTGATTATTTTTAAGAAGTCCATACAGAGTGGTTTCAATGCAGACTTAATGTGGCTGTTGCCAACACGGTGCGAGCATCCAGGCTAGCCTGGACATTGTGAGAAGCGTTACCACAACGCTGTAGCAGAGCTGTGTCTGCACTCGGGCTTTATTGACCATGGGAGGAACTCGATGGCTTTTGGCATTTCATGACCACCCTGACTCCCACTTTTCTGCTGTGCTGCCATTTACTCCTGCTCTTCAGCTGCTGCATACCATATTTTCTGTAGCTTGCCCAAAGCCGGAGAAGAGCTGCACAACTCTAGTAGCCCAGGCTTTCTTGTGCCCCCACCTCATTTAACCCCTATTAGACAATATTGTTCACTAAGCCAAGCTGATTTTTTCCTCCATCAACTGTGTAGAACACCCTGTCTTTTGGATCTGCAGGAAGGATGTGGGGAAGGCAAGGACTACAAAACCTGCAAGGCTAAGCCTGCACCCTCTTTAAAAAGAGGATGATTTACCAAACTGAGGGAAAGTGGTACACTCAAGGGTCTGGTTAGCCTGAATTTAAGCAGCAAAATCCTTTCACCAGATACTGCTGAGGCTCAGAATAGCTTGCAATATCACCCAAGTAAGAAAGCCAGTTACACCGTCATGAAGAAATATGCTGTAGTTACTGTTAGGCTTCCTCATTTAGCATCTGATCTTAGAAGGTGACTAAGACTTTTTGCCTGTCCATTTTAGCCAAGGGCTGTGAACGCCTTCCTGAAAACATTTTGCCTAATGCAGGATCTGACAAGTCTGCAAGACTGGAAGAAACATTGATTCACTTTGCATCTGGGTCACAAGAAGCATGAAGCTGTTGTTTTCTCAACTACAGGATCTCATCATCTATAGGAGAAATACACAGAGCGGCAGAGTGACAGCTAATTCATTCTTTAGAAGAAAATAGGTTTAGAAAACATTATGGGTAATACAGATAAAGCAATGTAGCATTCAAGTATCAGCTGAAATCTTTCCAACTGGTTTGCTAAAGCTAGAAGAGTCTCTCTAACTCAATTATGGTTCTGTTATTTCAAGAGACTGGGACTTTTTCAGCTGGCTAAAGAAAACAGCTTCTCTATTCTAAGAGCTCTAAGAAGTGTTCAGCACATGCTTGTGGTTATATTACAACCTTGGCAGACTACCCAGCAGCTTTTAGCTGTCTTTGCTAAGAAGTCATTTGTACAGCTATTTCCTTTCCTATAGTAATGTATATAGCTTTATCTAAAATGTCATATACATTTACTTTTAATACTCTGTAATCCTTCTTGGCCATCACCTCACATAAATGTGTCACATAGTCCAAGAATCTGGACTGCTGTCCTATGCTTTTCTGGCAGACTGCGTAGTTCCCATAAAACTCTAACAACTTTATGTGCAACAGTAATACTGATGACTGTCAGAGTTATGTAAGGTTATATTATTGTAGGTTCAGGAGCTGTGTTCCAGCAGGTTTGCTGACAATAAGCAAGATTTGAAAAATTTACTTATCAGGGGAGTTGGGAATCTACCCTGGAGGAGTGAAATACTGTAAATCACTTTCTCTCTGTTTTAAGCATTCATTTCCCCATATCATTATGAAACTGCCCTTCCAGTAGAGAACAGATCTTTACGCATGGCTGTATTGCCAGAAAAGAAATAGCTGAACAGAATCTAGTGCCTTTGTCAGGGAGAGCAAGCTAATATGAATTTTCTAAAAAAATTGTTCCTTTGTGGCTGGAGAGGATAGAGCTAGGGAACAAGTGACTAGGCAGGAACTGTGGTTATTCCCAGGATGTAACTCCAAATAAATTTCACATTCATTCTCAGTAAAGAGAAATAATATGTTTGGCTTGCAGGTAGCTGATGTATTTTTCAAGTCTACCTAGGACTTCTATGGCAAAACATACAATCAGCATTTTGGGATTTAACATACACCAAAACATATTAAGTGCATATACAATATAGGTTTAAAAATAAGGCAAACTATTTTCTCAGAAAATTGGCATTTAAGGGGTTTTCCCCACCAACAGATTATTTTTTAAGCAAATAATCTAAACCAAGTAATTTTGAAAAGTATGACAGTTTGGGAATCCTCTCTGGAAACTGAGAGGCACAATGATGAAGAGTGCTTTGTGTTCAGTCAGAACAACAACAGAAAAACAGCTTGACTACTTTAAATGCGTGAACCTTGATTAACATTATATGAAATACCTGCAATGAATTATTAAAAAAAAATAAAATCTAGGGACCTTATTTTGTGGTGGGTTGTATATATAAAATAATCATGCCCTTTTGAAGAGGTTAATAATCTACATGGATGATTTTAGGGAATTATGCTCTAGAAAAACTCCCCCTAAAAATTAAGGGAGTGCTATTTTCCTTTAGCCTTCAATAGGAGTAAGGTATCCTCCACATGAGTTTAGCATCATAATTTCTGATCCTAAGGATGTTCATAGAGTTAAGATAAGAAGGGAAGCAGAGGGCATGTATGGGTCAGTCACCCTCAGTGTGACAAGGAGAGCAGAAGCTAAAGTGCCGCTGTCCTTGGAAGATACCAGCTGGCTGGATAAAACAGACAAATAAGGCACACCCTGCAGGGAAGCATCACATTCTTCCTTTGACTCCTCCCTCCTTTTTTTTTTTTTTCTTTCTTAAGAGCTGAAATTCCTTCCAATTCTTCCTCTGAGGTATCCCATCATCGTACTGCATCAGGCTCGGACGTGGCTCAAAGTAAACAATACTGAGTCATGCTGGCCTTTGCTTTCTCCCCTGTGTTTCTCATGGAGCAATATTTTAAATGTCCTAGGATAAACATTGGCAGATTTTAGCACATTAGTTTTCAACATTTAAAAAAGGGAAATGATAGAAATGAAAGAGAAGTATTGTTTTGCAAAGATGCCTGTATTTAGGGTGGGATTCCTTGGGAGTAGCTGCAAACTGGAGCAGCTGCTGCCAGAACGTGGAACCACCATCCTCTGCACTCTTGAATGTCATCTGGTCAGACCACAAACTTTTAATTGATTTAACATGCTGGAACAAATTCGTTATTTTTGTGAATAATGACAAATATTATTTTAATAAGCAATGACATTATTTTATAAAGTAATGGCTAAATCTGAATGCATTTCTACAAGGACAGCAAAAAGACCTTTTCTTATCCCAGAACAAGCCACCTCTCACATTTCAACTTCCTTCTTCAAACTCTGGGAGGGAGTAAGTGTCTTCAAAGCAGCAATTCAAGCTGAGAAAGTAGGGAAAAATCTCATAAGCACTGGCAAAACTATTTCATCTAATATGATAGAGCAACTTCTGCTCAACTTTCAGAAACAGTGGAAGGAAAAGGGGAAACTTTGTGAAGATGGGTAGGTTGTAGCAAAGCTGCAAGACACTGTAGCAGAAAATGTTGGACAATTTTAACTGTAGGCATAACAGCTCAGTCTGTTTTAAAACATGCTAACCTTTAAAGGTCACCTCATTTGGATCCTGTTGTACCAGTTGTACAAACTTAGGAATAATGAGTGTTCCACACCAAAAGAGCGTATGTTATTTTACACACATACTTCTGGAACAAAGGCTGCTTTAGTTTAACTGCCTAAATCTGACTTTATCTGACTAACTTTACAGCCAGCATTTTTGAACTGAATTGTCCAGTCACATAGAGTTTGTAGTATTACCATAAATAACATTCAGGTCTTCTGACAGGAATACCAAATTCCTTTTAGCTCTTTTTCTGTTAAAATGACCATGTCTTAATGCTTCTTAGTGATTCAGACCAGAAGACAAGTGAATGCAATAATAAGAGATTTAGTTATGAGAGCAGTGATTCAAGGAGTCATATTGCTTTCACAGAATATCTTACAATGTGACCATGTGTCTGGATTGGCCTTATGCTGACTGTATATACGTGGATTATTTTCTGATACCAGCTATAGGGCTTGCTCACTTCAGCAGTGTGAGTATTAAACCTAACATCTGGCTTTAAAGTTTTCTAAAACATAGTCATTGTGCTTCGGAATTTCTGGGTAAGATTAGATGAGTTTTGTGGTTTTGATGTAGTAGTAGTAGTAGTGATGTACGTCAGCACAGGGAAACCAAATGCATTTTTGAGATAACTTTGAACTTAAAGGAAAATACTCTGAAGCCAGCAACAGGAACTGCAGTGGGGCTGGTCAGCCAGTGTGTACGTGGGCCCCGAGCAGTTGAAAACAGCTCATGCAAAAGTCTGTCCTGCTGCAGGATCCATATCAGCATTGGACATAAAAGCAGCCGCGTGAATGAGTAACCTTAACATATCTACAGCACATTTTTCACTACATCTAGAGCTGCTGCCTGTATTAGTATCTTCTGTGGGTTAAGTGGTCACTTCCATCTACAGCGCTTCCATCTATACCTGACAAGGCATTTTTAACTGTTGAAATTCACAACATTAAAACACTGTTTGACAATTTCATATAGGAACAGTTTAGTTGTAGTTTATCTCAAACTGGTGTTTTAAAATGCGTCACTGTTAAGGAAGGAAAAAATTCATGAACTCTTAAATAAAGTAGCTTAAATATGGACTTACTGCAGATATATTAAGTGTGTGTTATATATTTAAAGCAGAAAATAATAGCAGTGTCTCAGTAAAAGAGAACAGCTGCAATTATTTTAATAGGTAGCCACTCTACCGGGCTATGAATTGAATGCAGATAATTACACTCTGCCTGCCTAGGGTCCCTCTATACTTTAAAACACTGTTTCTCTTCTTCCTGTCCTGTTACATAGCGTTGAGTGCTTTGTTAGAATAGTTTTCACTTCTCGGTATGCTGCTTATTCTCTCAAAAGCTTGCAATTCTATCCCAGGAAATGTTCTCCTCCTTGTAAATTCTTACACTCTCTTAATTTACATCCTTCTCGGTACTCTTGCCTCTTTCGCAATGTCCACAGATGCAGACATGTAAGAAGATTTACCCTGACTTATGTTTCCTCAGATGTTTCAGAAAACAAAACTTTTCTGTATTGAGGACACCCACCCACTAGTGGTTCTTTTGAACTCTCTGTTTATAGTTTTATATATTCTTTCCACATACAATTCTTTCACTGCAGCCTTCAAGCTAAATGTACCCACTCCAATAACTAAATATTAGCGTTGTACAGCATTAGCCATAAAGTTTCCAATTTTATTTATAAATGTAAGTAAGTCATGTGTCAGTAAATAAAAAAATCCTTCAAACTGTGAAACTTTATGGCACAAATCAGCAAGATCAGAGAGGCCATTTCATTTGCTCAAAATTGTAAATTGCTTGTTCTATTTTTTTTTTTTTCAAACCATATTAATCTCATCCTCCTCACCTTACTTGGTGACAGGGAGCTGCATGGCTCATTGCATACTTTCAGCAAAAAACAAGAGAAACATGCCAAGCTGAAGTGGGCAGTGATGGTCTATAACCAATGATATGAGCCTTGCTAGACAATACTGTGGATCAGGAAGAAGATAATGGCAACAGAGATGGCCAGAGCTTTGTTTTTATGATTGGTCCAATTTGATTTTGAAAACCACTCTGCCTGGAGCATAGTTGGCAAAAAGACCTTACCTGACAAAAAGTGAAGGATATGAAAATACTCGTGCAAATAGTGGGATCAGATAGAAATGTGGTGTCAGTCACACTTCAAGATGTATCTCTCCCTCCCTCTCCCTCTCTCTCTGCAGGTCCCAGAAGGAAAAGTGGTTGTTCTTTCTTTTAGATATTTAGACCTGGAAAGTGACAACTTGTGCCGGTATGATTTTGTGGATATATACAACGGCCATGCCAATGGACAACGCATCGGCAGGTTCTGTGGTACCGTGAAACCAGGTGCCCTTGTATCCAACAGCAATAAAATGTTGGTGCAGATGACTTCAGATGCTAACACTGCTGGAAGCGGATTCATTGCAAAGTTTTCTGCCGCAGAACCACATGAAAGAGGTAATTAACAATTATGTATGTGTGGAAGACAAATATAACTGTACAACTCTATGGAGAGCCACATTAATGCTTAAAAAGATGTAATGCCAGAGATATTAGGGACTGTACTGTTCAACATATTCATTAATTATCTTGCTTAGCAAATAGCGAAGTATAACTGTTTAGCCATCGTAGTTAATCAAAGTAGTAAAGAGGAGCACTAACTATTGTAAGAGTTGCAGAAGAACTGCACCTAGTAGCAATATGGTAATGGCTAGGCAATAAAATGGCAGATGAAATTCAATATAGATAAATGTTGCAAATAAGGGGAAAATACCCTAACTTTATGTACAGTACAATGGGCTCTGAATTGATTATTACCGCTTAGGAATGAGATCTGAGGTTTAAAATAGGTAATTTATGAAAACAATAGTTGAACATCAATCCAGTGCTTAATAAGTATCAAAAAAGAAACAGAAACTTAACAATTTTTTGAAAAGGGAATAAAGACCAAACAACAACAACAAAAAATTATGCCAATATAAATCCGTAATGCATCTACATCTGAATACTGCGTGCCATTCTGATGTTCCCATCTCAGAATGGGATATAATAAAACTATCAGAAGCCATCAGAGACAAGTATGATAGAGTTAAGGAACATCATCTACACAAAGACCAGTTGCACAGCAGACCAAAGCAGAGGGTGATTTTTCTCAGAGAGCTGTTAAGGGGTGGAGTGCTGTGCTGGGGGACACTGGATTTTCCATTTCTACACTGCTTTAAAAACAATTAGAAAAACATATGAAAGAAAAATTTGTTAGGTATTATTAAGCATAAAGGCATTGCCTTGTGCTTGGGAAGGCCATGAACTGTGAGAGGCCGGGATGTTACAGGGAGGTGGTATCGCTCTGCTGAGTGACTCTTTTTCAAGGCTTTTGCTGTTAGCGTGATACCAGACTGGACAGGTTGTTGGGCAGACACGGTGCAGGTGATGAGTACTTTATTAGTCCTTCCAGTTGTATCCCTGTATTGATAACTTCTTGAAAGATATATTAAATGACTGTGACATGATAGAGTTAATTTAATAAAGAAGGTTCATAATCAAGGATTACATACCTGATGTAGCTTTGTAATTTGGGACTGGGAGGAGGAGATATGGAGGAAAAAAAGCCCTCTCTGTCGTAGGCTCTCCACAGGCTGCAGTTCCTTTGGGAATGACAGCTCCCGCCCAGGCCGTGGGGATGGCTGCTCCAGCACCTGCAGCTCCTCCTCCTCCCACCCTGGTGTTCGCAGGAATATTTCTCACTCTTTTTTTTACCCCCCTCTTCGTCTACATCTGGCATTTTCTGCCCTTTATTAAGTATGTTTTCCCAGAGGTGCCACCAGCTGAGCTGCAGGGCTCAGCCACGGCCTGTGGTGGGGCGGTGGCAGAGGCGGCCGGAACCGGCTGGGACCGGCCCTGTCCCCCTCACAGAGGCCCCTGCAGTAAAACAAGTGCATTACACGGGTTACCCGCACCCCTGTTGCGCTCTGGTCAGCATGGTGCGCTCTGCTTGCAGGGGATCAGTACTGCGGGGGACGACTGGAGAAGCCATCGGGGTCCTTCCAAACGCCCAACTGGCCGGAGCGAGACTACCCGGCGGGAGTCACCTGCTCCTGGCACATCGTCGCCCCAAAGAACCAGGTAAGCTGCTGCCATCGCCCGGCCCGCGTGGCCCAGCTTCCATTGCCTGCAAGGACTAACACCTCGTCAACGGCCTGCATGCACAACACGCTGCCTGTGTTGTACTGAAACAATAAAAATGCTATCTGGCTGACATGTAAAGTTGGGTATGTGCAAGGAGTGCAGGCACACCTACGCTCCGGCGATACCCACCTTCCTCTCGTGCATTACCTGGCTCACTCCAGTAACTCCTATGCTTTCTCAACATTGTATGTCCTCTTCTGTGCATTGATAGGTTCCCCTAAATTAAACTTTTTAAAACCATCTGTGACTGATGAGGCTTTTAATGCAGAGTTGGGGTTTTTTTTAAGATGATTTTGTTAATTAACAAAACATCATGCAAATTAAGTTAGGACAGGTGATCATCTCAGGACCAAACATGATGATGACCAATGCTAGGTTTAAGTCTAACAACAGTTTTAGCATTTTCAGTGTTGCTGCAGTTTGTTATTGAGGTACCCAGGACAAGCTGATTGAATTTATTGAAATCAGAAATTATTTTATTCTGTTTACAGTAGAGGGAATATAATTGGATGTGTCCTGCACAGGGATTTTCAATGTACATTTCATAAAGTTTGTTTTATTTCATATTTTGAAGGCTCCATCTCATAACATACTTGCTTAATTAGCCAGATGCCTTCAGAGCATATGTTACCACTTCATTAAGACCTGAAGAGATGTGACAGCAGACCAAGAGGGCTCGTTTGCCACTGTTTGCCACACATGGCAAACACAAGTGTGTTCCCTATGCTGTAGGGCTAATCTTAATCCTAGCTTCACGTTTTCTGGATGTTGCCAAGCCACCTGCTCTGTACCTTGGCAGGAATTCTACAATGATTGAATGTTTTGGTTGTCCAACCATGTTTGGTAGGTTGCTTTTCTTATCCATGTCCAGCTTTTTAAATTCCTCTACATGTAAAGACAACTTTCCTCTTAATCTTCTGCTCATGACTGTAATCCTCCAAATAAAAAAAGCTGCCTCAGATAAATATATTCTTCAGATCTTTCATACTTTTCCATTTCCCAAGATATTTTCTCCCTTGAACTGAAGCAGTATGTCAGCTTAGCCTTTCCTGTACTCCTCTCTAATCCACATTCCTTGCTTGCTAGATACAGGTCATTTAACAATTCTATAGATAGGCAGTGATTTTTAAAACCTTATCTGTAAACTGCAGATTACTTTAGTTCTTTCCGAATATCTCTAGATAAGCCTAAAATTTTTTCCTAAGCTTGTAGAGAAGATTTAAGAAAGGCTATATAAGCATAAAAATAAGGGCATTATATCCTGTGCCTTTTGAAGATCCTGTTCCATAAATCTACACGTTTCCAAATATATACTTTTCATGCAGTGCAATACTGGTTATTTGCAAGCAAATGAGGTAGAATTTTGAGAGTGACAAAAGCCATTTTTGAAGAAGTAGTGAATAAGCATCTCTCTTCAAGTGCACATGAAAAGCTGTTCACTCTTCGATTTGCCAAAGTTTAGGTGCCGTTGTCTCTACTTCCCTTTTACAAGCACGTGAGCAATAAAACAAGGCACTCTTTTGCTTCTAATACAAACCAATAATTACTTCATTTATTACAGAAGATGGAGGAGCTTCTCATGACAGTGAAGAGCTTCTATTCTATCATGAAATACTTCTTTATTAGTGCAAAGTGCACTTATGAACAATAGTAAAGTAGATATTATGGCCTGCGGTTTTGCCTGCTATGGAAAAATTTAGCATTTCTCCTCCCAGTTGCATTACTTCTTTCTATACCATCTTTTTTGATCACAAGCATATTATTCAGATGGGCACTTCCATTTAAAGTGCATTTTTTCATCATGACGACAAGGCTTTTGAAACAAGCCTGTTATTCATCTTTGAAACCAAGTCCCCCTAGGTTACTCATACGTTATGGGAAACAAAATGATGCCCGACACGTCTGAATAGTGCAAAAGCCTATCCAGGCAAAACTAAGACATCAGGTGATACCAGGCTATCATTACTATGAATGTAGAACAAGATCATTTTTACTATGTCAGTAAATCAAATAAAGTGTATGCAATGTACAAATGACTCCTTTTTCTTTGTACAGTCTTAAAAGATTTAATATAATCTTTGTCTGAGACAGACCTTTAACGAGAAATCCTGCATATCTACGATCAGCACAATTCAGTGTTGTCATCCAAGTCTCATTTGTGCTATTTATGGGAAGGTGATTTAAATAGTGTTGTCCTTCATATAAATGCATTTAAGTTGCTTCTTTGTTATCTCTGTTTCAATCGTGCAGTTGTGTTGTGTTTTCCTTCCTTGCTACACACAACTCACAGAATCATACTGCAGGACTTCATTTCAGAGTAGTAAATTCCATTTCTGTTCTCTTGTCCATCGTTTTTCTTTCTTAAGTAGAAAAGTCCATAAATACAAGTCATACTGGAGATAACAGCATCAGTACTGGAAATATCAGAGTTATACTAGTTCTCACTTATGACTTGTAAAGCCCCAACATTTATGGAAATCGTGTATGGAAACACAATTCCTTTAACTACTTACTTTCTCTTGGTTTTAGTCTTACTATTTACTAATTTTCTTTGAATCAATATTTTTGTTTCTGACCTTTTTATTTCTGCATCAAGTAAACACAGCATTGGCAACCACAGTGACTCAAACCCTGCTCTTAATGAAGTTAGTGAAATGGTCCTTACCAACTTTGCCCTTGCTTTTTCTTTAGCATATCTTGAATGATACAATGACACTAAAAGCCCCTTTTCTGTGGTTTAGATTTGTTACCATTATTTTAAAAGTAACACTTAACACCTACTATCCTGTTTTCATTCACTCATAAAAATAACTTTATCAGAAGTTACTTGCATATATTTGAGAACAAAATGACTCTAATATTCTATAGAACATATGTTGAACTATTTGTTGGACAGAAATCACATGGATTAAAATACTTTTCTGCACAATTAAGTGGATTAAGGACTTCTCCTTTATGGAAAGAAAATATCAATTAGTACTTCAGATGAAGAGGTCACTTACTATAAGAAGCACTAATAAATTCTGCATATCAAAACCTTAATGAGTTATTTACACTTTCCCTGCAGCTAATAGAGTTAAAGTTCGAGAAGTTTGATGTGGAGAGAGACAATTACTGCAGATATGACTACGTCGCAGTGTTTAATGGTGGGGAGATCAATGATGCTAAAAGAATTGGGAAGTACTGCGGAGACAGTCCACCAGCGTAAGTAACTTTCTTGAATTATGAACTTCACTACCACTCTGTGTCATTTTGCTAACAGTTCTGTACTAGGCTTCTGAAAGATTTCTATTCTTTTTAAAATTAAATATGACATTTTCTACCTCCAATTGGACTTCTAGGAGTTGCTTGGTATCTTCTCTCTCCCTCCATGACTAGCCCTGGCTCCAACCCATGTTCTGTCCTGTCCCTCAAGCCTCATTAGAGCACTGTCTAACACCACCAATAGTAATGCTAATGCTATTGATATTGGTATAATACTATAATAATATAATATTAACGGTAGTTGAACACTAACATCACTTAATATGTATGTTTTGATTATAGATACTGAAGGACAAGGATCCAACTGAACTCTGTAGCCCCTTGGCTCGTTACTGACTTTATCTGACTCATTTCCCCCTCAGCCACTTCCCTTCTCCCGGTTCCCTGGCTGCTCCTTGCATCACTGCTCACCATTTCTTCCATCTGTGCCAAGGCATGTTCTCTCATAGCACAGACTGCTTTCCTCAGCATGCTAGGTAGTGCAGAAGGCTTTCACCAGCTCTGCTATCAGATTGCTGCTCCCAAACCACCTCAACACCCCCCCAACTCACCTATCCCCCCCAAAAAAACCCATACCCCCAAGCCTCCCACCCCCAACCCAGCCAATGGCACTGTAACTATATAATCAGGTCTAGCAATAGTGGATCATAATTATTCCCCAAAAAAGTGTAAAGTTTTTTGGGTGAGGCTAGTAATTTTTAGCTCTCCTTTCCCATTTTTCCTCTTCCATCAAGCTTCTTAAAGCTGAGTAGGTTTAGAAGATGAAGAGGATGCATTTTGTTTCAAGAAATACAAGCTACTAAAAAAAGTAAAGATATGGAGGTGTGTGACTAGGTTTACATCTCAGAAGTGGCATCTAGTTTGATTCCCAAGAGCAACTAATTGGTACAGGGGGAGGAGGTGCATGCCTCAGTCTTTATAAGCATAGCTTGCTAGACTGACATTTACTGTGAGGTTTTTTTGTGTTTTTTGTTTGGTTGGGTTTTTTAAGGTTATGTAGTATACCCTCAGGAGACAAGAGGGGAGGCAGACATTCTGTAGGACTCTTTTCAAAGAGTCTTTTTAAAGATTTTTCTTCTCCATGCAGCAGCTATGCAGTAGCATCACAGTGCTAGAAATAGAGTAAACTTAGGCCTACAGAAATTTATTAGAAATTCAGCAAGAATTTAGTTCAGGGTAGGGCTGCACCTGAAATATATTAACTTCAGTTTCCCTCAGCCACGTTAGGCTTTTGGTCTTGAGTTACTCTTTTCTTTTTTCTTTCTTCTTTTCTTTTTTTTCAATTTGAAACTTTGTACATAAAGATACTTCTTTCCAGGCTTACATTCATTTCTTTTCAGGCCCCCTTCTTGTAAAGTTAAAAAAGCTGCTCTATAAAAAGATACTGATAACAGGGAGTCTTATGGGTAAGATTGTTCTTTAAGTGCTAGGTAATTCAGGCCACTAAAATGATGCAAGAGGCTAAATTCCATCTGTAGTTACATACATAATCACTTCCTTGTTTTCAGGAAAAACTTCACTAGCAAAAGTAAACTTTCCATATTGCCTCCAACCCAAAGGCCATGAGATGGAGGGAGGTTCTGCAAGGCAGAGTTAGTACTGAGTCTTCAAGGCAAGGAGCTGGGTTAGAAGTCTTGGACATTCACTTCCACCTCTTTGCCAAATGACATTCATAATTTTGCCATCGTCGCCTCACGTATGTATTCATAGCAAAGTGACTTCATAGTTTATAGCTTAGAGCTTTACCCGGAAACTAAGATGAATTGTTGCCTTGCAGTGCTGTGGCACTTGGAGTGACTGCAGATGGACTGCATGGGTCTCCAAATGGGTGATATGTTTCTTTGACCTGAATGTTGTAAGCATCTGTATGTATTAGATAACAAATCAGCATCATCTGAAGTAAAATCAGCCTCCCAAAAGGAATTCTATTGCAAACACTCGTCTTTCTTTAGACAGAATAAAAAAAGCAACCAGCAGATGACAGATGTGAGTTACGTTACTTAATACTTTATGACCAGATAGACAGGTATTCCATTGATGAGCATAGCATGAGAACCTCCTTGTGACTTTGCAGATCCATCCCTTACAACTCAACTGTTACTGCAGAACAGTAAGGTATTTACCTTCAAGCTACCGTAAAAAAACCCCAAACCTAACAGAATCTCATATTAGAAACACTTAACCAATGGTATCCCCTACAAATACCTTCAGTTCCTGCTGCGGGTGTTCTATTGTGCGCAAGTCGGATCCAAAGCGCTGGAGCAAATGGACTTGCTTCCTAGTTGAACAGAGTTTAAGCCAGAAGCATGATTAGAGTCTAGTTTGACTCACTCTGTATGTAAGCTCTGACATTTTAGACCTTTTCCAACTGAGGTAAGAACTGAACTCCACAAGATCTTGTCCTTCCCTTGGTTCTCAGAAGGCAGCAGTGAACAACACCCCTTACAGATGAGGCTGGTGGCCTCCAGTTCCTGGGACTTAACTGCCTCTTTCCAGCTGAAGCCTAGCCCAGCTGTGCAAGTATGTTTTGCACTGTCAGGATCTGGTCTTGGCTGACAGGGCAGCGCAAATGGAAGAAGTGCCAGGTAGCCTCTGAGAGGCTACTTAAACCACCTCTCAACTGTGGCTCAGCATCTATCCCCACAGCATGTCAAAGCTGTAAATCGGTCTGCCAAACCCTAGTGGGCTTCAAAATACAGACATTTTACCATGGACTTTGTGCAACAGGCAAATAAGGGCAGAATACTGGGCTTGGACCCAGGCCACATAGCTTAGAGATGAGATTTCCTGTTACAGAATATTAGAAGTGTCCTGAAAGCCAATTTTAGGATAGCATTGCTTCCTAACCAGAGATCCAATATAGAGCTTGAATGCAGTCACTTTCCCTTGCAGAATTGTGTATAGGCAGCTTCTATATCCAGTGAAAGGGGGAAAGTATGGCTCTTGGGGATTTTCCACTAGCTCTGCAGAATTCTCATCATAATTTGTCAGCTGGGTTCAGAAAAACAGTAAGGACAAGACCAGTGTCATAAAAGAACCAGAAATCATGGTGTGTGAACTGAATTGTGAAGCAATCCTTCTATAGAAAGTGTTAGTTGTGTGTCTGACACAGTAATTATGCAAGGTGGAACTCATTAATCAGCAGATACAGATAATGTAACATGGTATTCTGTAACAGAAACAGTATACATCAGAAGTATGAGTAAAGTGGATACCTTGAATTCATTTGGTAGTTGCAGAGATGATTAATTCAGATCCAGCTGCAGACCAGCAAGCATACAGTGTAACTACATACCTGATTCCTAAATAAAATTACTATGATACATAAATGAATAGTATACATAATAATCACAATTTGTTAGGAGAATTAATTACTCACCCCACCACAAAAAGCCTTTTTAAAAAAGACAGGATACACAGACTAGGTCAGATTTTTCAGATTTGGTGTTGTAGTCCTGGTGTTCAGGAAGCAGAACAAAGCTCTCAGGCAGCTGATACAGTGCCCTCCTATGTCCACAGCCTGTGTCAATACTGCAGCAAGAAAAGCATAATCTGTGCAACTACCGTGGCATCTGTAAATCTATAGAATTCCAGATAACCAGGCACTTACTTTTGGTTATGTCAGACTCAGCCATCAGAGTAAACTGATTTCTGAAACACCTGCCAAAAAACTGGGAGATGATCACAAGTTTTTATTTCAAAGGCCTGATTAAGTGTTTTGAAGAACGCCTGCTGACGAACACTGTCAGACTTGCTGGGAAGAAACAACACAATCATTTTAGTAAAACTACGTCTTAAAAACCACTTTCTATTTTCCTCTCTCCTCACCAAGATTCTTTTGCTCCTATATTTATTTTTCTTCCTCTGTGTTTTTGCTTGAAAAATGTGGGTTACTAATTATTAATGAATATTGAGATAAGCTCTGTGGAAAGCTCAAAAGAATGAGAGAAGTGCTGCTTTGGCTAGACTTGCATTCCATACGATTTTCTCTAACAGTAGTCCTGAATGAAGTCTTATCGCACTCCATCCACATCCAGAGGCAGTTAGTGTCACAGAAGGTACTACGCAGTTTATAAACTGAAAACTAATGCACTGAACAGTGCTTGTTCATGACATTTCAAATCCTAAGGAAATAACTCCATTAGCTCTTCAAGGCCTTGGTAATGAATACCCAATCACTGATGAAAACTGAGCCTGCAGAAATAATAAGCCAAAACATTTTATTTTTAGTGTTTTTGTCAAAGAATTACAGAATGCAACACTGAATTAATTTTCTTAAGGCCTTTCAAATGCATAATATGTTTTTCTTTAAACAAAACCAACCAAATGAATAAAAAATTTACTTACCTCCACTACATAGTGAGGATTTCTTCAATATAGTTTCCCACTGTGTTAATCTAGTCCCTTCCATTCCACAGAAGTGAGGTCTACAATGAAGTCACACAGAAGAATGTGAAGATACTCATATTGACATAACCTTCAGGAATCAGAGGTTTAGATGATTCATCAGAATGAGTTTCACTCTCATAACACTAGTGTCTGACATGCCAGCAAAGAAACATGTATTTCGGTATTAGTCTGGGGGCAGAGACGGCATTCAGACCAATAACGAAAGTGAAGCACTCTCTCTTTTTTTGTAAGAAGAATGCTATTAATGCTCTTTGTCGTTGACATTCAAGACAATGCAAATATTTTGTTTTTCTATTTCAGGCCAATTCTGTCTGAGAGAAATGAGTTGCTCATTCAGTTTTTGTCTGATTTAAGCTTAACAGCTGATGGTTTTATTGGCCATTATAAATTTAGACCAAAAAAGTTACCCACAACTACAGTTCCGCCTTCTACCACAACAGTCCCTGCTACCTCAAGTAAGTTTTACTGGCTTTATTTTATTTCTTAGTAAAATAAATTATTCCAGGACAAGGAGAGGGTTATGGAAAATTGTCATAGAAAGTATATTAAAAATTACAGTTTTATGGTTGTTAGTATTTCAAATGTTGAGAGAATGAATCAAAATTAATATACTCAAGGGAGTATCTTAATATACTCAAGGGAGAATCTACTTAACATTATTAAAAGGAAATCTATCCAGGCAAGAGTTCAGTGTAACAGTAACTTTCTCTCAGCTGAGAGAATTTTCCTTTCGCTTCTCAATTTTTGACAGTTAACTAGCAAATTTCGTAGTAGAATGGATGAACAAAATTCTTTTGTATAAGAAGTTCTAAATATTTTAGGAAATAGTTTTATTTGAAGGAACTCTCTCTTCTATACAAGTTAATACGTAAAAATCTGACCATATTATTCCTCATATAGTTATGAAGATCAAGCAAAACTGGCATGAAAGCCACCTGAGCCCTCTGTAGATTCTGTCGACATCCTGTCAACATGACACTCTCCTAGAATTATTTTTATTAAAAAAAAATAAAAAATCAGGGATCGGAACTTATAAAGAAATATGTCACACTAAAAATAAGTTTCCTTTTATATTTAAGATTAGACAGCATATATGAAAGATCAGAGGAGGATTTCTCTGAAGTTATTGCCAAAACTACCTCATTACTGAGATATTGAAGGGATAAATTCTTACAATTTCTGTAACCTGAATGTGAGAGATTAAAGATATAGTTATAGCAGAAAACCAAATTATTTATGATGTTTTTGCAACACATAACCTGATTTGTACTTAAAACGCATCAAAAGTCAGGACAGCAATGGCCTGTCAGC